TGCCACACAGGGGAGGGGACTGAGGGGTGTTTGATGCCTTTCTGTTGGAGCTTACAGGATAAATAGCTTAAAAACCATCTAATTTAGCACTGAAATTAACAGGGGTCTGAGTATTTACACCAGCTAAGCAGCATTTCCTCCAGTATTCCTTTAGTATTTCCACAGATGGAGCCCGAGCCAAGTTCTTCCCTTTTCCAAACCACTCAAAGGGAATGAGAAACTAAAACCAAACCATCAAAAAAAAACCCCACCCCAGAAAAAAAACACACAGCAAGAGAAAACCAGAGGTGTTGCCTCTCTTACAGGGTTCTACAGGGCATTTTCTATAAATAGGATTTTAATAAAGTGAAGGAATTCAGGGCAAGGAGAGCAGCTGGAGCCAGGGTCTCAGAGGCACCCCTCCAGTAAAATGCCTTTTGGCAAGAAAAGAAGAGAAAAAGAAGAGGGGAAGCCAGCAAAGCAAAATCAGGGGAACAACCCCCACCTCCTGCAAAGATAACAACAAACCTGTAATTCCCTTCAGGAGGCTCCAGGCTGAGGGCAGGAAACAAAATGCAGGAGAGGACGGGCAGTTCAGATATTTATAACCTTCAGCCCTCCTCACCTGCAACCTGGCTGGAGGAAGGAGGTTCCCAAGGAAAAACTCCACCAGATTGGTGATTGGGAGCACCTGAGCACTTCCTCAGGTGCTCTCACTGATGAATTAAGGGACAAGTTCGTTTGGAAATCATTTGTTCCCACAATTTTATTCAGCTCTGCAGTGGTTTCCAGTGCACACACGCCCCCAGCAGCCACCAGGACAGCTCTTGAACAAGTTCCCTTGAATGTTTCTCCAAATATAATATACTGTATATAATATAGAGAATATTTCTTCATATATAATATAATATAATATATAATGATTTATATAATTAACCCCATTTCCAGCAGAAAGCAAGTAAAAGGGTAGAAGAGGCAGTCAGACAACTCTATGTGGAGCTGCATTTTGGGGCAGTTTGGCCCAGAATTGGTGTGTTTGGCACTGGGGCTGCTGGACCATCCCTTCCCACCCAGCTCTGAATGGAGGGGCCAAGCAGAAATCCAAAGATTCATTTAGCAGTGGAGCTGCAATCAGGAGGAACAATCCATACCAGGCAGCAACAGGGAAATTTCTTTCTGTTTTTAAACACCAGCAAAGCACCCGACCAAACAATGACCAGGAGCACAAATATCTTTAAAACAACATGCAGAAGGGGAGGAGGTGCCTCAAATTTCTCTCTTTCCTCTTTTGAGAGCTGAGCAGGGAGGAGCAAACAGCCCGAGCTGGGGATACCCTGATCCTGGCTCCCCTTTCCAGGGAGCATTCCCAGCTCAGGTGTTTCCTTCAGGAAAGTAGAACTGTGCATTTCCAAACCAGCTGGTTTGAGGAAGAAAGAGAAAAGTCCCCTGTATTTCTGACAGCCCAGTTAATGTACATACATACTTATACTGTTCAAATATATATATATTGTTCTAAGAGGTGTAACAAGTCACTCCAAGTGGGCTTCCCATTCTATCCCTCCAGACTGTGGTGTTCCCACTGGCCTCAGCCACAGCACACATTCTATGTGTAGGATTTGGTTTCCCAGCCTCAGCACAGTGCCTGGGGTCTCTCCCCAGCCCGTGGGGACACCCAGCCCATCTTTTCTCACCTGGGGACAGGGCTGGTGTCACCATCCCATGGTCCTGTCCAAAGGGTGCCACTGACAGGGGAGCACCAGGGTCCCGTTTAGCCACATCCAAGTATCCAAAGGGAAAAATTTGATGTTGCAGGTCATGTTTTTCCAACCCACCTCCGCTCAGGAGCTGCTCTGGGCAGAGGGAGGGATGGCACCCCTAAAACAGCCCCTCAATAACTAACAGGAATGACCAAAAAAGGGGCTTTCCCCCATTTTCTCAGCACTCCGATGAGCCCCAGCATGCTCCTCGGGACCATCCTGTTCCATCCATGTCTCCCACAGGACTGTGGTGTCTCCAGCGGCCACGGAGGAGATGGGCAGAGCTGGAACGTGGTGGGAGCCTCCAAACCTGCTGTGGCTGCCCCCGGCCCAGTCTGGCAGCTCTCACCCAACATCCCACAGCTGCTGACGTCCCTCTCCAAGGGCTGAGCCCTCACCCACTCGTCACACAGCACCCACAGCCACCTCACAGCAGCAAAAAGCAAAGTGGGTTTCACATCGAGCTCCCCACTGAAATTTTGCTGCCTTTGGACCTTGACACTTGGGGTTTTCCCTCCTGCTTCCCATCATTTTGTCCCTCCAGGAGTTTCCAGGGGCCCAGGGCTCACCCATGGGTGCCCACACCCCCTCATGTCTAATATCAGAGCTCTATCCAGCACTGCACAGCCCCTCCCGCTGCCCAGGCGAGGGGGAAGAGGGAGGGGGGGAAAGGGGAAAAAAAAAATTAAAACATATTAAAGGTGTTAATAAGCGACTTATTTAAACGGAGTATCACATATTGAACATTAATCACCTTGCAGTAAAAGTGTAATTAAGGAGTCACTCTGCCTTCTGGGGAAGGCTCGCTTGGAAGCCGAGAGAAAATGGTCTCTTTATTAACACAAATTATTTTATTTGGCTAAAGGTAATAATTCTAAGTGAGGTCAACGGGCCTCGTGCACACGCGAGCGGCGCCGGGTCCCGGCCAGCGTTTCCATGGCGACTGAGCCAAGTTCATCCTCCGCGGTAATGGCTTTGCTCTCCCTCCACCGGCTCGGGATTGTTTCTTGGGAGAAAACAGCCTTCGATCTGTCAGCGGCATCTCCTGCCTGCATCCCCCCCCCCCCCCCAGGGGACCACGCGGGAGAAACACCCCCCCGGGCCCTCCCAGGTGGGCTTTGCAGAGGTGCCACGTTCAAAGGGCAGTGGCACCGTCCCCACTCAGCCACTCGGTGCTGGGGCTCGTGGCACAGCACCCACCGAGGGTTCTCCACCTGGGAACGGTGCTCAGGGAGCAGGACCAGCACATGAGGCTGGCTTTTCATATTTTCCAGCACAGCTGCAGCCTGGGATGGGTGTAGGACAGTTGTAGGATGGTTGTAGAACCATGTCCATCCCATCCCTATACAGCCAAGCCATGGGAATTTTCGCCCAACGGCTTCCCACGGGCAAGCCAGGGCTTTACAGGGCTTCAGCCTCCCTGGGGAATGGCAACAAGCTACAAACCCACAAGGAAAGCTGTGTCAGGGATGTGCCCCCAGATGTCTTCTATCCAGAAGCATATTTTCCTCCCCATTTTAGCCCTAGTTCACCATCCTCATGGGCACCAAGCCTCGGCAGCCACTCACCCACGAGCACCTCCAGGCTCCCACAGCGCCGAGTGTCCAGCACGAGCAGGGAGCACCACATTTAAAAATACGTCTCATTTTATAAAATCAAGGTCTAAGAGACGCACCAGTAAAAATCAGAGAAGGTTTGGGCTGTAAAAGCCCATTTTGCCAAGCACATTCCTGCACTGGGAGAACTCATGTGTTATTCTGTCTCCCACAGATTATTGTCTGAAGGCGGCGGTGATTTATCTGCCTCCCATGTCATGTCATCCGTTTACGTACAGTATTATATGTAGAGTGTGGCATTAACATTTTACTATTATTCTTACCTTTCAATGCAAAAAGATAAGAGTGTAAATCTGGGAGACAAGGGATGTGTCAACAGCGCCGAGCCAGCGCTCCGGGCACGCGGGGCCGAGCGCGGATGCTCATCCTCCTCCTCCCTCCATGCTCCAAGGCTGTGGCCAGCCCAGTGGGGACAATTCCAGCACCAAAAACGTGTCCTCGTGATCCTCCTCAATAAATCAAACCCCCTTAACACCAGCATCCCTCTGGTACCAGCCACCTCCCTGCCACGCCAGACGGAGCAACAAACAGCCTGTTCACAACTCACGGCCGGCCCCGCGTAACTTATTAACACCTAGTCAAGATTAATCAAGCGGGGAAAGCTAAAGCAGGGCCCTAATTAGTTGCTGATGATAACTATATTTGTCATCCTCTCCCAATTAGTCTACTGTACGTTTTGGAGTCTAATTGCACCTTGTTCTTCATTTAAATGTCATCGCGCGCATATATTCTCCTCCTTCTTTAGTAAATTTGAGAAAAATTTGACATTAAATATAGATTATCTTTAGATTTTCATAATTAACACAACTGAACTGCCTTCGGCCTAAATACATCTCCTTATGCAATAAATCTGGCCACTCTCTTGGAAGTGGGATTTTCCAGAGGTGACATGGGTGTGGGATGCATCCCCTGGCACTGGTAACACTGGGGTGATGAGTAGATGTCCCTGGTGGCTGTGGTCAGGAGGACGTGGCCTCAGGATCCTCCACAGAAGGAAGGGATGGAGCAATCTTTGGGGTTTTCTCCCTTCTGGATTTTTTTTCCTTAGTTTTCAGAGCTGATAACATTTTTAGGAGTCTGATTTGCAAGCGATGGGTCAGATTGTACTCAGGGAAGTGAGGAAGGTGAGGAGACTGTCCCACCTCCCTCTATCCCACTGCCAGACCTGCCCTGGGCATCCCTCTCAGCCCTCCTGTCCCTTGTCACTGTTAGGACAAGGAGTCTGTGACTCTACACCGGTCACACCCAGATCCCACCGATGCAGATTAGTGGGTATTCAATACATTGACGGACAAGAGAAAGCTCCAGGGAGTGACCTGTGCCTCCACATCCCAACGCCTTTAACCCTTCAGCTGCTGCCCAGAGCTCACCAGCAGGACTCCAGCCTTCCCTGCCTTCCAGCAAAGCTGATCACTGCCAGAGGCTGGGACCAGCACAAGAACCCTGCTGCCCACCCCATTCCCCCATGCCCACCAGGGCACTGGATGCAGCCCATGAGGCACCCATTGCTGCCTCTTGAGCACCCACAGAGGTGCTGGTGGCCAAGAGTTCTGCCCACAGCAACGCTGGCACTGAAAACAACAGTCAGGTTGACAGAGGAGAAGAGGAGGGGAGGGAAAAAGCAGTGAAGGAAGATGTACAGTCCTACCTGTCCCTTAGGAAGAGGTTCAGCTCACGGATCGTCCCTACCACCTATTAAGAGCAAAAAAACCTGGGCTATGATCTCCTAAACTGCTCCAGGGCTCGGCGTGTCCAGTGCAGGGGCTGCAGCCACTTGCTTCCCGGGAGGAGGCTGCTGCCGTGTGAGTGGGCAGGGGAGGGAGAGGAGAAAGGGAAAACGGGGAAAAAAAAATTTAAAAAAAAAATCAAGGAGTAGTCAAAAAGTGTATTAGAGGCAAATTTGGAAAGAAATCAATGGCACGTAATTGGATTTGATTTTCCTCCCCGTTTTGCTGGGCGGGGGTTCCGTGTGCAGCCCCTCCGTGAGCGCGGGATCGGGCGCTGGCTCCGGTGGCCACCGAGGCATGACAGCTCCATCCCGGCTGTCAGGGGGACAGCAGGAGAAACATGGGAATAAATACAGGGGAAGCCACGCAGGGAGGAGACGGGCATTTGCTTATTTACTAGTTTAGCTGCTGCTCCCCCTGCCAGCGTACAAACCGCCCTGCCAGCAGGGAAGGGGCTCTGCGGGGCACGGGACTGTCCCCAAGGCCTGTCCCCCTCCCCTTGGGCTAAGGCCCTCCCAGTGCTGTGGAGGACCTGGATGAGTCCTGCCCAGTTCAGAGGGTCACACACAATGACAGTGATGTCCCCAAACCTTCACCACCCTGCTCTGGACATCGGCACAAGCCTGACATGGATGTGTGGTCACTGGGAAAAGGGAAGAGAGACCACTTACCCCAATTCTCCACTTACCCCACATCTCCAGACAGCCTTTAAAACCACAGGGTTTAGTTCTCCTCCCCTAAATGGGAGTGATCCCTGTGGTGCTTGGAAAGCAAAGCCAAATCCCTGTCCCCCATGGCACGGGATGCACACAGGGATGCTGGTGCTCATTGGTATTCCTTAGGTAAATACAGGCAAACACGAGGCAGGATTTGATAAAACAGAACTGCTGGTGAACCTCAGCCCTTCCCACACCCAGCAGCACCAAGCAAAAGCTGATTTTTCTTTTTCATTCAACATGCTTCCTAAGGAACCTTTCCACAGCTGGAGAGTCCTACTCCACACAGCAGCCTTTTCCAGAGAAAACTTGGGAAACGGGCACAGTCTGCAGGGAAAGAGGATGTACAGCCCTGTGGGAGCATTCATGCAGCCACATGTACACACACACACAGAGGCTTGGATATATCATGCATGTATGTATGAATACATATATATTTATATATATATATATATCTTCCTCCCTGCCCAGTTTTCAGTGTTGATTTTCCAACCACCGCTCCTCACCCTCTGAAGTTGTGAGCTACCCTCTTTTTTTTTTTTTTTACCCTTTAACCTTGAAAATTAACCTAAAACACAGGGTGCTGTACACATGACTTACTCAAATAAATTGCATCCTTAATTATGAACACCCTCGGCTCCGCTGTGCTCCGGGCCACGCTGCCCCAGCGGACACCCCCCTCCTGATGAGTGGTTATTGAACACGCAGACAACAATCAACACTAATTAAATACTCAGCTGTTGAGAGGAGACAATGTTTATCAAAAAATGCAAGAGGAGGGGAGCGCATCTTCTGTTTTCTATAATTAGTTAGTGATATTCCCCAGGCGGTCTCGGAAATCGAACTCGGGTTTGTTCACATCTGTTTGGCACAGGCAGACAAAGGCCACCGTGGCCCTGGTCCCCCTGTGTGTCCCCCCCCCCAGCACGTGCCACTGCAGCATCACTGGCCAGCAGGGAAAGGTCCCCCACCCTGCTCATCCCCTCCCCACGGGGGATTTGGACCAGAGCGGCTGTTGGCTGCAGGGATCCCATCCTGGGCAATCCCGGGGGATATGAGCTGGGAGGTGTCCCAGCTGCTGGGGGCTCGGAGAGAGGGCAAAGGGGAGGGAGAGTGCACAAGGTGCCTACACCTTCCCTTGCACCCTGGTAAAACCAAACCCCTCATCAGCAGGAATGTCGTTTTGAATGCAAATCTATACCTTTTTAATACTTTGTTGTAATTCTTCGGTGGTTTTCAGCCAGGGAAGGGGCAGGACAAGGCTGATCACTTCCCTCTGTCTCATGTTATTACCGGCTTAAGGATCTACTCAGCAGCAGAGGACAAGAGTTAAAATTTCCCTGAAGGAGGGAAAATAAGGTGATTAGTGATCACTGAAGTCTGGGACAGCTCCAGATAAGGAAAGGCTGGTTTCAGAGTTTGTTCATGAATGAAGAATAACAGGAACAAAAACCCCCTCTCTGTCATACTCTACACTCCAATATTCATCCAAGCACTGCTGAACAGTCCCTGTCCCATAGATCCACATGGAATCACAGAATATCCTGAGTTAGAAGAGACTCACAAGGATCATCGAGTCCAACAGCTGGCCCTGCCCAGACACCCCAACAATCCCACCCTGTCCCTCAGAGCATTGTCCAATCCCTCCTGGAGCTCTGGCAGCCTTGGGGCCGTGCCCACTGCCCTGGGGAGCCTGTTCAGTGCCCAACCACCCTCTGGGGGAAAAACCTTTTCCTGAGATCCAACCTGACCCTGCCCTGACACAGGCCACACACTAATTTTCCTGCCTTCCTACATGCAGCTGATAGTACAGAGGAGCCCTGCAGTGACACTGGGTTTGCTAAAACTCCAACCTCAGGCAGTGCTCCGAGGTTACCCCTCTGGCTGCTCTGGGAGCAGTGCCACGAGCCCTTTGCATCTGCTTCTACAGCAACTGCTGCACCCACCCATCACCCCCCTACTGCCGCTCACAGGCACCCCCTGAGCACAGACCCTGCACCCCGACAGACACCAGTGCCCTTGCAAAGTCTATTCTGCCCCGTTAACAGCTCACCCTTCCCAAATCCCGCACAGAATTCCACACTAACAAACGTCCTCCACGCAGCACCGTCCCCAGCCCGACCCTGTGCCGGGAGGGTGCTGGGGTGATGCTCTGCTGTTGGCCCAGCAGGAACAGAGCCCTGGGGACGCCCCTGCCATGCCCACCCCCCTCCATTCCCTGCCAGCAGCCGTTGCTTCCCAGCCCGGGCCCCGCTCGATCCGTCAATACCGGGCGCGGGGGCCGGGAAGGGCAGGAACGGCCCCGATCGATCGGCAGCGGCCGCCGGCCCCGTGGGTGCTGCACTTGTTGAGCGAGGCCGTGGTGGAAGAAAAAGAAACCACGTTTAACACATTCCTCCTCCATCTGAAGCCAACCCCAAAGGCGCAGGAGCGAGCAGGAGGGCAGCAGCATCTCTCAGTGTCTTGCAGGGGCCGAATAATGGCAGGAAAAGCCAGTGCTGGGAGCTGGGAAGAGCGTCCCTGTCACTGCTCTGGGGTGCACCTGGCACTGCTGATGGCACATGAGCTTTGGCAGGAAAACACACGGGAAACAGCAGATGAAAGCTCAGCAGGGCTCAGTGGCACCACTGGGCTCTCAGCCCCACGCTGGGGGGGACAAGGGCTTCACCCCATCACCCTGGTCACCAGGAGCAAGAGCTGGGGGTCAACACATGGCTTCCCTGGGCAAGTCTGGATGTTACAACCAACAGCAAATTATACTTTCCTGGTAGTCTCCATCCCAGGGATCTCAAACCACTTTTACTGAGATCAAGGATTAATCCAAATTGCCTCCCTAGGGCACAGAGAAGGACCACAACCCTCCAGTCCCTCCAGGACAAGCCAGGACAAGCTGGGATGAGCCAGGACACTCTGGCAGAGCAGAACCTGCTGCTGCTGTGGATGCACTTTCCAGCTCGCTCACTCATGGCCTCAAGAGCTCCGGGTTTATATAACCAGACTCAGAAATCTGTGCATTGCCCTTACACTCTGATCAAACCTGAATACCTAGAATACTTCTGGTAGTAAACAATCTCCAAGACTCATTTCTTAGAGCAGCAGCAGATGGTCAAGAGCATTTCCTGAAATTGAATATTATAATGAATTTAGGATCAAAAAAATTTACATAATAATCTGGTTTAGATTCTGATAGTGAAGAAACCTACGCAGAAACCGCTTCTTTTCAGCTATTTGAATTAAAGTATAAATCTCCGAGAATTTTAATTATAAACAAACTTTTTGCCCTTCCAGTTCCATGGAAGAAATTGAAAAAATTAACTACCCAGGGAGGCTCAAGGCCACACATCAGGCTCAGTTCAAGTTTTACCTCTCACGACCCAGTGGCTGGAGGGGGATGCTCAGGAGCTCAGCTCAGCTGGGGCTGTGCCTGTTGTGCCAGAGCTGAGTTTGGCTGATCCTGTCGAGCCTCCATCAAACTGCACAACCAGCAGGATCCCCCAGCAGCCCAGCTCGGGCTGGGAAGCTGTGGAGCTGCCCAGGGACGTCGGGAGCCCTGGGGCTGGGGAGGTGTCACAGCCCTCGAGCGCTTTGCCGCAGGGGCTCTGGGTCTGCACCCCCAGCCAGGGGTGGGAGGGGTGGAAGGGAGGGGAGGGATGGGACAAGACCATGCCTCCCAGGGAATTAGCCATGCCCAGATGCCAGTGTAGGAACCTGGACCCTCCAGATCAGGCCAACGCCCTGGGCACACACATCTCTGGGAGCCTCCTGCTCCTTGCCCACCCTGCTCGGGTCACCCGCGGTGACACAGTGGCACAGACACGGGGGAGGCTGGGAAGCCCCTTTTGGGGTCATCTCCTCATCATCCTCATCACTGGCACAGCCCTGGTCAAACCAGCCCTGTGCCAAGTGAATCCCCGGGATGGGGCTGTGCCAAACCTGCCGTGGGGCAGCAGCACAGTCTCCTCCATCCTCCCACAGCTGCTGGACCACAGGAAGATTTCCCTTCCCACCCTCGTGCTGGGAGATGCAGAGGGCCTTCCCTTTCAGAAAAGCAAATATTTAGTCTAGATAAAAAACCCCGAGAGCGTTTTCCCCAGGTAATACTGGTAACTAAAATAATCACATTCACTTTGCTGGTTTAATTTTATATTTCCATTTCTACCTTATCTTTTTTCTGCAAGCATCATTAAACCACACCATAACAAAAATACATGAACTGTTATTCTTTCCAGAGAAGCCATAAACCACCTCAAAGCTTTTCAAGTTTATTCTTATCTCGTACATCTTCCTCTGGTTCAGGGTTTTTTTTTTTCCCTTCATGCATTTCAGAAAGGTAGTTTTCCCTAATGTTAAGAATAGTTGCATTGAAAATGAGATGCTGCCTCTGAAAAGCCCCTCTGGAGGATTAAATAAGTAAAATATAGCCAGAAAATAAACTGGAACCTCATTAAAATAATTTTGCAAGGAGAAATCCTACTTTACAATAGGTTTTCAATATCACTTAGAAAATTCTTAGAGTCATATATATATGTTCTTAATTCAGGACCTTCCATTAAAAAAGACATTACAGAGGGAAGTGAAGGGCCATTTAGTACCCTTGTTTATATAAAAATGCATATTAGGCACAGATGCAATCTCCAGCCTCAGAAGACTTGGGATACTGCTGGAATAAGCTGTGCTTTGCTGGAAGGTGCTAATGAGGGTTGGCAAAGCTGCCACCACCTCGTTTATTCTGCCAGGGAATGCCAACCACTCTGGTACCCCCCTTATTTTTAACTATTCCTTATTTTTAACTATTTTAACACTGCTGAGGCTGCAGCTTCTAAAACAGGCCAGCTTAAAAAAAAATAAAATAAAAATTTAAAATTGGCAGGTTTAACTCTGCATCAATTCACAGTGTTCTGTTACAGTTTTAAAGTGTATAAAACTATTGATCAGAAGCAAGGCAATTACTGCTGCCCGTGTTTAAAGCCATGTGGAAGCCACAAGGAGTCATCACTGACCCACCCACACAGTTCCCATTCCCTCCTTTTCTGAGGGAAAAGCTCATGAGGAGGCTCTTCCCAGTGAGGCCACACACACACACACAGGGCTGGAGTCCTCCAAACCAGAGTCATGGTTAAATCACAGAAATTGCCAAGCTGGGAACAGATTTGGACATCCTACTTAATTAGAAGCTAAAATACAGGTGACCTGTGCATGTACCCCTGGTGTACTCACAAATATTTCATCTCCAAAGGCTTCAAAAAGCATCATTAGAGCAATTACTATTCCCTGTCCTTTGGAATCAGGAGAACTTCTTCAGGTACCTCCACACCTCCATCATTTTGAGCTGAGCCTTGAAACAGCTGTAATAATTAGAGTATTATTAGATTATTAGTATTTCTAATCTCTATATATTAGATTATTAATAGCCATAATTTAGATGAGATCTTAGGAAGAAATCCTTCCCTGTGAGGGTGGGGAGGCCCTGGCACAGGTTGCCCAGAGAAGCTGTGGCTGCCCCATCCCTGGAAGTGTCCAAGGCCAGGTTGGACGGGGCTTGGAGCACCCTGGGCTAGTGGGAGGTGTCCCTGCCTGGGGCAGGGGGTGGGACTGGATGAGGTTTAAGGTCCCTTCCAACCCAAACCAATCTGTGTTTTTCTGAATAACCCTGAGACTGAAGCCCAAGGCAGGTTAAGGCACAACAACCCCTCCAGCTCCCAGTAGCCCCCCCAGCCCTGGGGTGACCCCGGTGCCAACCCCGAGCCCTGTGGGTGTCACACACCCTGTGGGTGTCACACACACCTCTGCAGTGACCAAACCCGAGTGTGCACGACGTCGGGGCAGCAAGTTTTGCAGAGAATAAATATCACACTCCAATTTCATGGTAACTTAGGAGGGTTTGCTGGCAAATACCATGGCTTTTACATGGTTCTACCAATTACCGAGCAATTACACATAACCTAGATCTGGAGGACACATGGCAGCCACCTAATGTATTCCTCTCTCCTGGAAAAGAAAAAGGCAGTTAATAGAAAACACTCTTTTTTTTTTTTTTTTTGTAATAATTATAAACCCTTCCACAATATTCCTGTGTGACATTATTAAAACTCCACGTCGATACGAAACCCAAAGCGACGACTGCCATCCCATTAACACATCAGTTGTGGGATGATCGATAAGAATTTGCTTTAAACTGCACCATATGTCGCTCCCCACAAAGTTTTATTATTCAGATTCGTCAGTTTGTACCTCAACCCCCCCCGTGCAATTAAATCCTGTTTAGCAGCACTGACCTTCTGATTTGAAATCATCGTTCCTGCAGCTGGTTTGGGGTTCCGACGGCACTTTTAAATAAGGGAAACAAAATATCTGTGAATTAACAGTGGGGTACGAGGAGGTCTCCGTGGGGAAAGCCCTCCAGTGACACCTCCAGCAGCACAGCACAGCTCCCGTGCTGGAACAGGGAGAGGGGGAGGAAAAAAAGAAAGAGGGGGGGGAAAAAACCCCAACCAAACCCAAAACAAAGAGTGCCAGCACATTTTAACATGTTGTAGCATATTTGTAAACATCGTTAATCACGGATTAGCAGATGGTAATGTTTAATTGCACCTGTGGAAGCAACAAGACCTTAAGGTTGATTACATTTACAAACCGGGATCCGGCGCGGCGGAGAATTCCAGAGGTGCAACTCCAGAGGTGCCCCGTGGGCAGCATTCCCAGCTCCTGCCCCGGCCCACAGCACCCCACACTGCTCCCTCCAGCCGTGCCACCAGCTGGAGCCTGGCACAGGGAAAGGTGCTCCCTGTCCCAGAGCCCTTCCAGCCGCCCAGACCTCACCGGGCTCCAGGATGGATCCGATGGGACGAGGTTTTTTGTGGATAATGCGAGCACTAAAGTGGAATGTGGGGCAGGAGCTGAGCTGTGGGCACAGCCAGCACTCCCCGGGGTCAGCCTGGGGAGATGAGAACATTGGTGTTCTCCCCTGACTGAAGATAAGGCAGCACCAGCGCCCAAATCATCTTCTGAACCAAGGAGGACAAATATTTTGCCGCTGTGCTTAGAGACACTTTGATTATTGAGAAATCATTCTGGAAGGGCAATTAGTAAATTTTAAAATCAATTTGGTAAATAAGCCTCTGAAAGGAATCCATGACAAGCAGCAGGGAGGGAAGAATTGACTTTCAAATTACACACACACACACTTTATTCATATCTAAATATCAAAGGGGCTCTATGTACAAACAGAAGTAATCAGGAAACATGTTTTGATCTTGCTGATGTACACAAAAAATGACAATTAATGTCCTCCTTTATGATATAAAGCTGGGAGTTTTTTTACAGTTACATTACAGGGACGATTATAGTCAAGCTTAGGGCTAAAAATAATGAAAGACTATAAAAACTACATTTTAACATTTAAAAATATCCAGGAAATTAACTGGAGAGGCAGGCAATGATCCAATTAATGGATTGCATTTATTAGATCAGGGGCAAGTCACACAGCACCAAGCTCCAGCTCCAGAGGTGGGAGAGTGCAGGGGTCCCTGTGCTCCTCACGGGCCTCAGGATGGGGCTGGGGCAGAAGGACACAACAGGTACAACCAAAAGTCAGGGGAGGTGGATCCCAGTGGAAGAGAGTGGGGTTAAAACTCACCACTGAGGGAAATGGGATAAATGTGAATAGCAGAGCTGTCCAGAGTGGGGTTCACTGCACCCAGAAGAGCCCTGTGTTGCAGCTCTCCAGCAGAAAACTCAAGGCTGCGGCCCCAGAACGTGCTCAGATTCCTGCCTCGGAAAATTCAAGCCTCAGGCAGCTCCCAGTAAGCCTTGTCTGATGCTCCAGTGCCAAAACAAGGTCCCCTGTGGATACAGGACTGGGAAATTTGCAGGGCAGGGGTGATGGACAGGCAGGAACTTCAGTGTACCCCTCGCTCTGTTGGCAGAGCTGCTGCGGGCACTGAGGTTTCAAAGCTTTTTGGGAGCCTTCCAGAAGTAAAGGAGCTGTTCCACAGTTGCTCACCTGCCTCCTCGTTAGAGGGGCTGAGCAGATGGCTGAGCACAGACTGACAGCACCCAGCTTTCCCAACCACACAGAGCCAGGAAGTGCCTCCTCTGTTACAGCACTGCTCAAATTAATTAAAAAAAAAGGCAGTAAAAAGGTAGAAATAGCAGTGAGATGGGAAATAAATATACTTACCTACAGGTCAAGAATAAAGAAACAGCTTCACCCTGATCCCTGCTGCTCCAGAGGAAGGATTCAAGTGCTGAATCTTTGAATCTTTCCTCTGAAAAAGGAGCAAATCTGAGCCACGGGCACCCTCTGCTGGGGCACCCATGGCTGGCAGGCAGCACCACGGGGCTGGCTGAGGCCTCCAGGCCTGCAGCCTTTTCATTTCAGCTTTAGAAAGAGAGAAAAGGGCACACTCAGCCCCCCAAATGCATCAGCTGTCACCTTACACTGCACCAGTTCATGGTTCTTCAGCAACCAGCTCACCTTCAGATTTGGGCAACAAAACCCTGTTTGCACGACAGTGTTGTTTTGGAGTGATTTGGGGGTTGTCCTGTGTGGGCACAGCTCAGGATACCTGTCACCACACCAGGCACTCCCTCCATCACAGCCACAGCAGTGAGTCCTGGACACCTTTCAACAGCTCCTTGTCCTGTCCTGGCCCCCATCCCAGGCACTTGGGGTGTCCCCAGTCCCACAGCACACACCAGCCAGACCCTCCCAGGGAAAAACCCTCCACAGACCAGTTTACAGACATCATTTAGCTCAAAGTCCTAATTAGTCACTCAGAGTGATTTACTTGTTCATTTGGAAGTGGGGGAGGGGGCAGACTGAGCAGAGTTGTTTGAAATTATCCCTAAAGGGCACAGTAAATTAAGTGTTAATGAGGAATCCTATGCAAAGGGCCACAGTAGCTAAATAAAATAATTAAGGTGCTAAGTGATAACATTCTTTAGGTTCTCAATAATTTAGCCAGTCTGGTTTTCATCCAGGATATCTGCAAATGAAGCCACCCCCACCCCAAAGCTGGTGCAGCTCAGCATCCAGTGGGATCAGGCCCACCACGGAAAGGAAACTTTCCTGGAAAAAGATCCCTATTCCCACCTGAAGGAAGTGTTCTGCTCTGCTAATCACACTCTGGATTTATATATGACACAAAATGTATTGATTTGAGTCTACAACAAACTTTACAGGAGCTTTATTTCTATGGGCTGTGTGTTTTTTTCCAACAGCTCACATCCATCCCTCGGCAGGGCTCACACCTGCTTTACAGCCAAACACAGAGAAACCACCTCCTCGTGAGGAAGTCCCTGCTGAGGGTTCCAAAGCACAGCAGGCTCTTGGCAGCTCCCTCTCCCTGCTGAGCGGGCTCAGGGTGGGCTCAGGGTGGGCACAGGGCTTGGCTCAGTGGCAGCACCAGCCAAGCACTTTCCCCCCACAGCCCAAATTCTCTCCACAGCTCAAGTGATGCACGACAAGCACGAAGCTCACAGCCACCCCTGGGTGTTTTCCTGCCAAAACTGAAGGATACAGCTGGATGCTTTCAGGGCTGGCTTCGTATTTCCCCTCCCTGGAGCTGCTCCTCCCCAGTGCTACCCAGGACAGGAGGTGTCTGCCTTGGGCACTAAGCCAGGGACCTGGTGGCATCCTGCATCAGCCAGTGGGGCTCTGCCTGTGACCTGCAGGGACGGTGGAGACTCTGGGAAGAGCTCTTCCATATCCACACTGAGCAGAGCCAGGGAATGCTGAGCAGCTTCCCCCACCACACAAAGAGGATTTCAATCTCCATGCCTCCGTTTCTGGCTGCAGATGGAGTGCAGGAGGATACCTGCAGGAAAGTAAAAATAAATAAATATTGTGAGCTTTTTGGTTTTTTTAAAAACCACAAGAAATCCGTTCTGTGGGCCTGGATGTTTGGTTTTTAAAACACGGGAGTCTGGAGTTCAGTGCCCTTGTGCTCAGAACTGCTCTCACCAGTAGCAACAGAGACGTTGAGCGAGTCGATGCCGGGGTGCAGGGCTCTGCCAGGGGGGATGGCCAGCACCCGATGGCACAGCAGCTGTGTCTCCAGGGAAAGGCCCTCCCCTTCACTACCTGCAGGAGAAAGACACAGCTCAACAGTTGCTGCCACATCCCTTTCCCCCCCTCCTCAGCCCAGTCCTTGCCAATGCTCTGTCACACCTACACCCTCACCCTCAGCTCAGCAGGAACCTCACCAGCTCCCAGGCAGCAACAGCCAAGAGCTACCAGAGCTGAGACAGGTACCTTGCCACCTTCCCTTCCTGCAGCTGTTCTCCACCATCAGGAGTGCTTTTTGAGGAATACCTGTGCAACACACCTGCACAAAGCACAGAGCCTTGTCCGAGCAGAGAGCCCCTGCACAAGCAGAGCTGTGCCAGCAGAGAGCTGCCCGTGCCCACGGGCTGCTGGCACTGGGACAAGGCAGGCAAGAGGCCACAGAACTGCTCTGGTCCAGCAAATCCCACATCCCTATTGATAGTGACGGGCTCAGCCCTCCCAGCACACAAACCACCGGCTGGGTGCAGCTTGTGCATGCAGACAGTTTAACCAGAGGCTTCAATTGATTAGTTGTTAAACCATCCAACAGCCCTGATATGTTTGGGCTGATACACTGGTGAAACAGAGTTGAAATCTATCCCAGGTCATTAGTAGTTGTTTGACTCACGCTGTCACAAAGGGAAATGGAAAGGGAGAGGCTTTAAACAATCCTGTGCGCAGACAAGTGAAAATGCAGAGGACCAGGGACCTCCCAGCCCGCTTGCCTCCCCAAAGAATTCTTCCACATTCATTATTTAGAGCTACACAGACAGTTACACAGCTGCAGGAATAGCCAGCTCCTTCCAAAGACCTCTGGCAAAGCAGGCTCAGCATGTGGGAGCCAAACATTCCCCTCCAACAGCCATACCTTGACCTGGCTGAACCCCAGACTGGTCCTGGAATGGCACTGCCAGGGCTCTCACAGTGCCCACCTGGGGCTTCTGCCTGCCTGACCAGGGTTCCCATGGCCTCACTCAGCTCACCTAAATTCAGACACTTCCCTGAAGTTTTAACAGCCCACGTTCCCGTGCCACTGGAGACTCCTTCAAATTCAGCAAGCTGGGCTGAGTTGCTCCAAAGTTCCTTCCCTGGTGTCTATTCCAGCAGCTCCCCACACATGGATCTGTGTGATCCCTCTGACCACACAGGGAAGGAAAGGGCCATTACTCCCATTTTTTGGTTGGAAGCTGCTGCCCAGTCTCTCGTTCTGCTGGGCTGCTCTAACTGGTAGGATGCACTTTTGGGTAAGGAAGAGGATGCTTTGGGTAATGCATCTTGCATCACCTCCCCAGATGAAATAAGCCATTTGCCAAAGGTAACCTTTGGCTGGGGTGAATGAACCTTCATAAAACCCAAATCCCATCCCAACCATTCTTTCCCTCCTGCTGTAAGCCAGCAGTGCAGACAAGGCCTGGGGGAGTTATCCAAGGTCACAGAGTGACACCAGGAATCAGAGCCGGGCCTCCCACGGCCCAACCTGCCTCTTCATCACTACACCATGGCTCTCCAGGGATGCTTAAAAAAAACCCCAAAAATAGCATCCTACTTTTTCCTGATTCAACACAGAAAAGTTTTACAACTTACAGTCATATTTGCCTCCTGAGCCTCCCAAACCACACTCCCTTGGGACTCTCCAACTGGGACAGCAGCAATTGCCAGAGGTGCAATGGCTCCTGGAGCAATCCTCTCCTGTCCCTGATAAGGGTCTTACGATTCCTAATAAAGGTACCAATTTTGCTTCCAGCTTTTACAAAGCTTTTTATGGATCTAGCTGTTTAAAATAATTAGGAACCATAAATTCAGGGCAAAAAGGCTTGCATAGTGTGACACGAGGGAGGGAGTATTGACTGAATCAGATTAAAACCTGGTTTATACTGGTGAACAAAACACTTCCCACTTCAGATCTTAAACTTCCATCTCTTAGCTTTGTTCCTCACTTCAAAGCCCAGTGTTAGAGCTCGGTGAAATGATAAAACAGGTTTCCTGCCCCACTTAACAATCAACACCACCAACAGCTGCAGTTCCCAGAGCAGAAGTTCCAACCCAGGCGGAGGCAGCAGCAGAGAAACACAAAATGAGCATCTCCACAAAACCCTCGACCCCGTGGACAGCCTTAAACCCTGAGCTACAGACTGCAGGTCTGAGAGGAACAAATTGCCCAGGCACTCTCCTCACTCAGCCATCCAAGTGCTCCCCATCTGTTCCTGCTCACAGCAGGCTCCCAGTCCTGCGGGCAGCCAGCCCTGCCTGTCACCTCCAGCAGCGACTCCAGCGCACACAATGTTGAGCTGGACTGTCCAAATCTCTCCCTGCCAAGCCAGCCAGGATGCCAGGAGGGTGCACTGGGAGTCTGCAAACGCTTAACTTACAAGACAATCCGTGTGGTGCCAGGGAGCTCACTCCCAGGCTGAATTATCTCTGCTGCTCTCTGCGGCTGCAGGAACGCTACATATTCAGATCTAGGATGTTTCTCCCCACCACCTCAGCACCAGATGACTGTAATGTTCAATTTTCTTTCCAGAGAAGAGTTAGTGCTCAGCAGAGAGTTGAAATCATTACTGCTGCAAGGTCCAGGAGCTCTCCTCATGCATCTACCAATCAGCCTCCAATCTCCCCTGACAAAAGGATATTTGGACTTTTTCCTGGAGAAATCTCTCATAACTCAAGGTAACGACACCACTGCCACTTTCACCCCCTTCCCTTCTGCGGGTGTTGTCGCCGTTTCTGGGATGCATTTCTCTGTGGTCCATCAGCAGTGCTGCCAGCCCTGCCTGCTCCCTTTGTGACACGGCTCCACACATCTTGTAGAGGTGCCAGATTTGCGGCGCTGTCTTGTCAGTATTTCCAGGGGTTCAATAAACATTTTAATTAAAGGAATGTCTTCCGAGCCAAGAGAACCGCGGCACGGGGCAGGATTACAGCCCCTCCATGGCTTGGGGCCAGCACGACTTGCAGGTGTAAAAGCTCAGAGCAGCTCCTGTGCCAGGTGACACGAGGTGGGGGGACACAGCACAGCCACACACAGGGGCCTGGAGCAGCACTTTGGGGGGAGTTTCTTTCCTGCCCTTCCTTTCAGCTTCTGGGAGGCTGCACGACCCCAAACTCTGCCCACAAAAGCAGCATCCTTTGCCAGTATCCTCTGCACTGAGGGAGCAGAAGCCCTGCAGGAATTACCCCGGTCAGGGGCTCAGGGGAGTGGCACCCACTGCCCCAACAGGGAGAGATTACACCTGCTCCTGCAGCCAACACCTCCTGCCTTCTCCTGGCCGTACAAAAACAGCCACTGACTGCTCCCTGTGATGGTCTCTGTGCCACAAAGCCCAACCTTGCATTCAGACCATGCCAAACAAAAGCTCCTCATGGCTCTTTCCAGACCTGGGCACAATATATTCCTGTTTTTATCAGAGGAAAGATGACAGAGCCATGACATGGCACCGTTCAGCAGCACAGCCTCTGCACAGCAGGAGCAAACACACCTCTGGGGCTCCCCCTCACCTCTGGGGTTCACCCACACAGAAAATCCAGGCTTGGGGCTCTGGGACAGGATCAGAAGCAGCACAGAGCACAGTTCAGAGCACCACACCGTGGCTGCCTCGGCACTGGAACTGCCACCCAGACCCTCTGCAGCTGCTCACCTCCCCAAACAAACTGCTTGTTCCTGCAGCTCCTCCTGGGAGGCTTCCCAGCTCCCCCTGCTCCTCTGGGTCCCTGTTTCCCAGACCATTCCATGAGTCCTGCTCTGCTTTTCTTTTCCAGACAAAGTGTGATGTGACATAACAGACCTGCAGCCTTGGAGTGAAACCTGCCCCCGATGGTTCCCTCACACCTGCACCCCCACCCAGCCCACAGCTCTGGAAATTCAAATACCTATCACTACAATAAGGGGTTTATCCCACCGAAATTCCAAGCAACTGATGACAGGGACATCTTCCACATCCTCGGGTTTGCTGGCTGTTCCCACCACTTCCCAGCCTTCTGCAATTTTAGCCTAGAAAAGGAAGGGAAACAAATATTAAAGAGTTGCCAATTTTTCAAGCTTAAAACGAAAATAAGTCATCTATGGAAAGACACTGGTGGGGTTTTTTTACATTTTCAGTTAAGCTGACTGGTTTTTCTGTATTTTTTTTTGGCATCCCTTGAATTTTTACCACCGAAGTCCTCCCACTATCAGCACACAAACCTTGACTTAATAAACAACAACAACAACAAAAAAGTAATTTTCCTTCTGGCATTTATTCCAGTTCAGTAAGCAAACAAACAGCAACTGAAAAGCTTTTTTTTTTTTTTTCTGCTCATGCAACAGTTCTAGGAAGGTTTTTTTTGCCAGGAAAGCATGCAAAAAGAGTAGTGTTAAACAAATTAGCACAAGGCTAATGCACAGAGCAGTGCACTGGAAGTTGCAGAAGCCCACAGTGACATTTGCAAACTCAGATGCCAAAATGCAGCTCACACAAAACCACTCAACACTCAGTGCCTCACATAACCAGAGAACCAAACCTCCCTCCTGCACCCTGGTAAAAAGAGCCTTAATTATTTGTGTTGGAAATCCATTTTAACAATAAAAGAGCTGCTGCTTCTTGCCAGCCTCATTTCCTGGGAAACTGGCACTTTTTACACGATGTTATATCAAATTTACTCCAGCCAGGCAATGCCAGGGGTGAGGCCCGTGAGTCCAGGTCCAATTAAACGATCTGCTGCAACGGCTCAAATTGTTAATAATTCAAGCTTTACAGTAACCAAGCGATTCTTCCAGCTTTTCAATTAAATATCAATGTATTTTATGTATCTTTCATTTCACCATCACCCAGAGCTCCAGCTGCCACAGACCCATTTCTAGCACCAAGTGGGCAGAACTGGAGATCCTGCAGCTCCCTCGTGCACACAACGTGTCCCCAGCCCAGCCAGGGCACAGGTGACCCCCACAGGGGTCAGGGCAGTCACACTGTGCCCATTCACAGCCACATCCCCGGGTTTGTTTCAGTTTAAATCCCGTTTTTCCACGTGCATTCCCTTTCCTTCTGCACCATGTTCTGCAAAGGGCCCTATCTCGCCTCACTGCACAGGTACAGTGTCAAAAGATTTCCAGCAGCTCACCAGCCCTGCTTTCTCCTCTATTCCCTACTCCAAAGGTTGCTCCAAAGGCTGCCCAATGCTGCCATCGTGTGCCTGGGCCCCAGGATGCTGCCTCTGCCACACTCCAGGCACAGCTCCAGTCTCCAGGGAGGGAAGGGACACAGATCCCAGCATACTGAGCTCACAGCCCGAGTGTGGGAGAGCCACAGGGCTATCCTGCTACCACCAGCTTCCAGGAAAAACACCCACACCCCATCCCCAGCCGATGGAATGGGGCTGGAAGGGGGGGTGTGTGCCTGTCACTGGTGGTCCCACAGCACAGACCACCGGCAGCAAACAGGAGTGCACAGCAGGAGCACAGACACTGCAAACAACTCAGCCCTCCTCCTGACCCACACAGGCAATATTTGAGTTTTCTTTGAAGGAAAGGGGGGGGGGGGAAACAGGGAATCATTCTACCTTCAAAAAGCTCTGGAGATCATCTGTGCTGTAGACATCGAAGACCTCCATGGCTCCAGCACTGGCTTTGCTCACTGTCGGAGTCAGGGGGCAGCTGCGAGGGAAAAACAAAGGAAAAGCTTCATACGAGAGCAAAAAAAGGAAATCCAGGCGAATTTCTGTCTCTGTATTCCCTTCTATTGCCTCTGCAACCTACTCCAACCAGTGCACTACAGGTCCCGCTCACTGTAGGGCTGTGTTTTACTATGGAGAGCAGGAGGGCTCAGGAATTCACCCAGGAAATAGGTCCCAGCAGTTTTGTGCAGATGAGACAACTGAAATGGGTTAAAACAAGAAGTGCCCAGAGAGGGTTCCTTCCCAGCCTGGAATACCCCATCCCTCAGCCTGCCTGTGGAGCAGCAGCCACCCAAAACCCTGCTCCCCAGCTCAGCCCCAGAAAGCTCTTTGAACAGCTGCTGAGTGATGCAGGCTGGAAACCTCCCTGGGAGCCAGCAGGGAAGGAAAGAGGAGCTGCAGGAGCAGATGCACAAGCCCCGTACCTGTTCCTGTGGCTGGTCACCACTCTGTCCACCCCCAGGAAGTACGCGGAGCGCAGCAGTGCCCCCAGGTTCATGGGGTCCTGGATCTGCTCCAGCACCAGCCAGATCAGCTGCCGCTTCCCACTCGCATCATCCCCCAAACCGGGCGTTTCAGCAGCCTCCAAACTCTTGAACCGGAGCGGGGTGGCCTCCAGACACACTCCCTGGTGGACCTGACCCCTGCAGAGCTCGTCCAGCTCCCTGCGCTGGACGTGCAGCACCGGGACCCCTCGGGCCGCGGCCTGGAGCACAAACTCGCTCATCACGGGCCGCCGGGAGCTGCTCTGCTTGAGGAACAGCCGGAACAGGTCCCTGCGCGCCTGGCTGAGGGCCAGGGAGCACGGGCCGATCCCGAACAGGATCTCCGAGCCCTTAGTCCTCTCCAGCCGCAGAGGCTTTCGCTCCATCCCTTTCCTCGCCCTGGGGAGCTCATCCAGCTGCGACAGCCACAGCTCCCGCCCGGTTGCCGACCCCCGCCCGGCCCCTCTGTGTCCCGGCCGGGGGTGTCCCCGCGGGGTGTCCCGGGAGCCCCCGGAGCCGGGACCCGCTCCCGGGCCCCGCGGGAGGGATGCGGGGGGACCTTCCTCGCCCCGACCCGCGGGCGGGGGCGGCTGCTCGCGGGTGGAGCGGTGCCGGACCCCGCACGGCCACCGGCATAGCCCTAGGGCGCGGCACACGCGGGGCACCAGCGCCCGCTCCATGGGCGCCCACGGGGGGTGATGAATCCCGTTCAATTCCCGGCCCCGGCTGAGCCGGCGGGGGGAGGCCTCGCACCACCCCCCGGCGGGGGGAGGGAAAACACCGCGCTCCGCTCCAGACCCGCACAACACGGGCAGGGGCTGGAGGGGCTCCCGGCCCCGCAGGACCCGCGTGGGGACCCCCCCGGACCCTCGTGGGGACCCCCCGGCCCCGCCGCCGCTCCCGCCCCGCCCGCTCCGCTTCCGGCGGCGCCCGCGGGTCCCGCCCCGCGCGGCAGCGTCGCCTGGCGGCGAGGAGGGGAATAGGCCGCGACACCCCCCCGCTAATTAACAGGAGCTTAATTAACCACGAAACAGCTTTAAAACCGCTTAATCGCGGTTCCCCTAAACGCTGGGGAAACAGGGAAGGGACTGGCCATGGTCTAGCGGGGGTGGTTTTAATATGAGCGGCGAAATGAGCGTGTGAACGGCGGTGACCCCCCAGAGGGGGTTTCTCCGTGACCCCACTCCCAGAGGGCTCGGGCTGGATGGGGAACCCCCGGAGCGTGAGAACTGTCCCCAAAAGGCACCTCTTGGGTGTCTCGGGGATGGCGGCAGGTGCCGTGGCCACGGGGAGAACGGGCTCGGGGGTCCGCCACCTGAGTCTGCAGCTTTCAGCCCAAAATGCTGCATCCGTGTTTAATTGCATCACTGGGGAGCAAAGGGGGGGCAAATGGGCAACAGGTCGGCACAGCGATGGATTTGGGGCTTGCAGGGGTTTATCCCCATGGGTCACGGGGGACAAACCACAACAGCATTGTTCTAAAAGGAGTTTGCAGAGAGAAGCAAAAGCGTTTCGGTCCTTTTCTATTTCATTAGTCTGAAGCATTAAGTTATGCCAGGCATCAAAACCATCATCAGATTTCTTTAACAGGTTCAGAGATCTTAAGTAGAATCATGTTTTACTGCTGGTTACCAGAGCCAACTGTGTTCATGGTTCTTCTCCCCCAAAAAATGAGAGTTAAGACTATATATCTACATCTATATATAGATATATATGTATACGTGGGCTGAGCTCATATATCTGCCAGGTCACATTTGCCTGAGGTACAGCACTTTTAATAGGAAAATAATTCAGCTATTCATTACTTATCTCCAAAAACTTTGTATTTCAGTGACTGCGAAGCTGAGCTCAGGAATGGCCTCTGTGCTTGGACAACCTGAAAGGGGACAGGGGAACAAAATGCCTTCAGTTACCAGTGACAATTCTGGCCCTAATCCCGTCCGGGTGTTCCCCCACTCCTGATCCCGGGCTCATCCCGTGCATAGTTTAGCCAAACCCAGCCCACCCGGGGAGTTCAGGGAGCCCCTCTGGAGTTGTGGCTACATTTGAACAGGGACAGGCGAGTCCAACCTCCACAGGTTATCTGTGGGACACCTGGATGCTGTTCTGCTCTAGAAAGTAATTATGTTTTTTCCCCATAAACAACCACAACGTTTCTGTTTGAATTTGTCACCAAACAGAGGTTTAGCTGGGAACAGTAAAAAGGCTGTTACGCTTTTAACACAAAAATGACAGAACACACAACGAGCCACAGTGTGCCTCTCTTTTTATTCTTTATTTTACAGCTCACAGTTAGAAACCTACTGATAAATTACACAGCTGATCCTCCCGTTTGGGGGTTTCAAATGCCTCGGGGTCGTGTCCCATCTCATCCCAGGGAGGTGGCTGGAGGTGCCACCAGGTTCCACGAGGCCAAACAACCCGCACCGAGCCCTCCGCGGGCTGCGCTTCATGGGGGGGGTGAACGGGCAGCAGGAATCATCCCCTGGAAACACACTTGAAGTGGAAAAACATACTGGGCACAGTTTCAAGACTTGCAAATGTTATAAATGTTCTTGAGGAGGGGCGGAAAAAAAAAAACCAACCAAACCAAACAACTTCCAGGGCTGCAGGGCAGCCAGGTTGTGTTTGCAGGGAGCAATTACCCAAACTGCCCCTTCTTGAGCAATTCTCTCCAAATCCTCCTTTTCCAGGGAGATAAGTTAGGTCCCTCCTCAGCCACGCATTTCAACATCTGCTGAACTTTGCACGCAGTTGCTGCCACCAATTCAATGTTTCACCACATCCCTGCTTAGTTTTTTTTTTCCCTTCTCAGAAGTTCCAAATTTCTCAAATTTTTTTTCTTTTTTTTTTTTTTGCCTCCAACTCCTAGTTTAACTCCTTTCTCTTAAAAAAGATGGCACGCACTGCACAGAGCACCTGCTGGATTTGCTCTGTGCAGAGAACCCACACAAAGCCACGGCCTCAACAAGCTGGAGGAGGGCAGTGCACTAAAGCTGTGCAAGAATTTCACTCACAGTAAATTAAAAAGCCAAATCCAGAGAGGAGGCTCTGTGCACTTGTCAGTAGAAAGGGGTGACACATGAGGAATGGACAGAACACACCGTGGGCGTGGGTTGATAAACAGGAAAAAAAAAAGGGTGGGGCAAATTGCCTTTCTTTTGCCATTAAGAAGGAACATTTTGCCAGTTTTCTCCTTGTATCCTTCTAAAGCTGCTCACCTTTGGCACAAGGAAATTCTAGGTATCACAAGGTTTCATTAATAATAATACTTCATACAACACTCAGCACTTACACAGCGCTTCTTGTGGTCAAAGTGCTTTACAAAAGCTTGTGAGTCCTCACAACACCCCTGTGAGGTAGGTAAGTATTATTATCCCCATTTTACAGATGGGGAAACTGAGGCAGAGAGGTAAAAGTGACTTGCCCGAGGCTGTGCAGGGAGTTGAACTCATGTTGTAGTGGCCCAGTTCTGGCCTCCCTGACGGTGGGGTGACACAGATGGACTCCCAGAGCTCTCCTGGTGTGAGCCAAACCATCCAAACCCAAATTTCTCAGGCTCTCCAATCCTCTGCTCCGACCAACTGACCATCCCAGCTCCACCTGAGCCAACATTTGCCCTCAGAAACACTGCACAGAGTCCAGCAGGAGCGGATCTGAAATCTTAAGGCAACGTGTCCAACAGCTCCAGAGGAAGTTGGACACACACAGACCACACTGCAAAGAGTCTCGAGACATCTCCAGTGCTCTCCAGCTCTGCACATGTCTGCTTTGAGGCCCATTCTCTCCTCTCTCAAGTAGAGTAAACCCAGAGCAAAACACTGGGGCTGCACCAGTGTAGCACTAACACGAGGTCTGACCCAGCCCTTTCACCTGCTGCTTTGTAGGCAAACACCCCTACAAGTCTCTTTTCGTCTCAGACACCTTCAGCACGGTTCATTTCACTCTCTCTCTCTCCGAGTTTGTATCTCTCCTCATAAACAAACTCCCGACAAACTTCCAGCTCCTCAGCACCAGCATTTCAACAGCACCAGACATCTTTCTAAGACTGATCCACGTTTCCAGAAAAGTGTCAATGCATGCAAATATCACATACAAAACATCGAGAGTGCTGGGAGATGATACCACGGGTAGAGGTGATCACAAGACAGCACACGTTTAGTTTTTATTAAAAATACCAAACAACTCACTCTTACTGTAACTATGCCACTGAGATTATCGTTCTAACCTGCACAAGTACAGGTACTTTTCCTCCAACTATTTACCTACCTAGAAAAAAAGAGAAATATCAAGCACACACATTTATACTTCCCCAAACTTGGCAGGCATGATCCATGTGAACGGGAAAGGAGGGCTGGGGGAGGTGGGGAAGGTTGTATGCTGGGTTTAGGGCAGTGGAATACAAAAGAAATAGAAAACACCACATGCATCATCACCATCAGTAATCAACCTGATGAAAATAAACCCAAATATTAGATGGATTCATGTATGACATCCACTGAAAATCTCAAACCCTAAGCACACTGAAGCTGGCAAACATCTTGTGCCACTTCACATAGGTCCAGACACAGCATCAGCAACTAAGATCAAACAAACCTTGAAAAGAAAGCAAAAGGAAGAATAAACCAGCCTGGAGACAACAATCTTCCACAAACCACTTCCCTGCATTATCATCAAATACATTTTACTCTTAAGCAGTTTCACAAAGGAGTGGGGGAGAAAAGAGACCCACTACTTGTTGTTGCTTGTTTGTTTTTTTTTTTCAAACTGGCTCAGCACCAGCACCAGCTCAGAGAGAGGGAGAGAAAAACAATTCTTCAAACATGATCCTTGGTACTTGATTAAAACGTTGCCAGCCAGCCTTTGACACCCTGGGTTGCCAGAGGGTCCGAAGTGGAGTGGATGCACTGTGCTGCCCGAGGGCCTCTGCTCCTGCTACGAGATCTGCTCCGTGGGCCTCATCTGTATATCCCCGATCTGGAAGAGACAACGCAGGGTTTTACTGGAGCCCACTGGAAGTGCTGCACTGCAGAGAAAGAAGCAAAGGTGAAATGTGCCTGCTGTGCCTTTAGCAGGAGGGATAAAAGCTCAGACGTGCACAGGAGAGGTGCGAGGTGACACCGGCTGCCAAGTGTCACGGTTCACATCCTCGGCTGGGCCCTGATCCCAGAGGGCCAAGCAGCAGCACTGCTCCAGCAGCCACAGGCAGGACCTTTTATCTTTCAGCCACAGGCAGGACTTTTTATCTCTTTAGGACAACAAGGCCAGTCATCCCCACGGATCCAGTGTCAAGACGGCCACGTCTTGCCCCAAGGAGCAGAGTCCACACGAGGGGCTGTTCAGCCTCTCGTGATCAAAGTCTGCTTTCACAACAGGAGCTTTCGTGTTGCACAGGGTAAGCACTGACTCGGCTCCTGCCTCCCCCTGCCTCCAGCTCAGAGCTGGTCACCTATTTCTAGTTCCACAGGAGGGAGTCCCTGAGGCAGCACAAGCATCTCACACACCCTCGGGGAGGTGCTCAGCACTCAGCAGGATCGGGCCCAATGTGTCATTTGGCGACTGGCACAACTCGAGACTCTCAGCAAACCTCAGATGGCACCATCCAAAAGGGCAGAACGTGCCCATATCCCTCACATTCCTTCTGTCTTGCACAGTCCTCCTCTGCAGTCACAGAATCACAGAATGCCCTGAGCTGGAAGGGACCCACAGGGATCACCCAGCCCAGCTCCTGGCCCTGCACAGACACCCCAAAAATCCCACCCTGTCCCCGGGAGCACTGTCCAAACACTCCTGGAGCTCTGGCAGCCTTGGGGCCGTGACCACTGCCCTGGGGAGCCTGTTCAGTGCCCAACCACCCTCTGGGGGAAACAA